CTACGGGGGAGGACCCGTATTATTCTAATTTCTACATAAATTCGTGCTTTTGGGATTTGCTTATTTTGTTAATTCTGTTTAGTTATTAGTCATTTAAGCTAATTTTTAAGCTGATTTTAGTGTGTTTGTTTAATTTGTGTAGATGTTCCTTTCTCTTTTCCTCAGTGAGTCAGTCCGGTCTGGTCCTCTTTGTTTGTTGTGTCAGTTTGTTTGTTGAGGTTTTGTCCTGTTAAACCTTAATTGTGTTAGTTAAAGGACCTGTTATTGTTGTTTGGAAATCCTCACTGCGTCTGATTCTGATTCTGCTTTGTTTGGACCATCCCTGTCCAGGTTCAGTTTCTAACAAAAACAATCCAAACAGGCACAATTTCTTGGTCTAATTTTTTTGTGCCGAACAGGTTTATGTCTTTAAACCCCCCCTGAAAACAATATGTTATCTCCTTCTGGGAGATGTTTTTTTCTCGCACGTCTTCTTACTCAGAGAAAAGAAACAGTCGCGTCTCAGGAAAGAAGTGAATTCCTAATGTTTGGTTCCTCTTTCATGGACTTCTGAGAATTTGTTGAATGATTGGTCCCTCTGTGGCAGCTTTCCAAACAGTCATCTCCAGCTACACTTCACGTGTTTCCCCTCAATATTTAATACACGTGCCTGTTTTTCTTTGGGTTAAAATCGAGTCAAATTTGTCAACTTTTTTAAAAATTATTTTAACCCTTTAAAGTCCGATCCAAGAATAAAACAAAACAGAAACGTACTTTTTTTTTGTTTTAAGTCTATATTTGGCCTTTTAACAAAATATGTAAAAAGAAAAAACAAAAATACATTTTTGATATAAATCATTTATTACTATGCGATAAGTCAAGATTATTTTTTGTGTAGTCTTCTGCCCCCTGTTATCAGGTGTATCTGATTGTGTACAATAGGATTTTGAGCAAAGTTTTTACCATTAAATTATGCAAAAGGAGTCAGACGCAAAACATTTCAGAAACCGTATGTATCAAATATGATACATTTGGCATCACAGGGTTAAAGAAAAACAGTTACATTAGTCCGATAAAGGTAAAAGGGTATATTGCAACCTAATACAACAGAAAATAACACAAAAAAAAGAGAAAAAAAAAGAAAAACCCCCTTACCCCCCAGCTTGGATCTCTATAGAAATCTTAAGAGACCATATTCCAACAGCATATGTAAACAGAGTCAAATTTGTCTTTTAAAAAATGTCTGTTTCTTCCCTGCTAACGGGAGAACGTTTGCCTCATTTGTTCCTGTGTTTACAGGAGAACGGACCCATCTTTTCTGTTTGTTGGGAGCAGATAGTATTGTTAGGATTTGGCTAAAAATACTCATTTTAGCATAGTATGCTACCACATGATCCATGTAGATTACTGATTGTTTTATTTTATTTTCTTTGTGTTGAAGTTTCTGGCTGTAACCACAAATTCTCTTTTATCTCCTTTTCTTTTTCTGTTGCATTAGATACACGTCTTTAGGTCAACACAAACACACACCGTTTGTTACTACATTCCTGTCATCTGCCTGAATTAGGACCTGGCCTGTTCCTGCCCAGAGGTAACTGGCCAATAGGACTTGGTTGTGTCCAGTCCTCCTTTGAGGAGGCGGATCGAGCCCAGGAGATAATGCCCATCACCCAGATCTCAGGGCTCTTTGCCCACTGAGACCCAAAGAGAGGTTTTAGTCTGTTAGAGCCCAGCTCATACACTTAACTGTGACCCAATACATTAATTTTTTTTATACTTTTGCTCTGTAGTATATAAGGTGGATCTATTTACTTCAGCGGAACCACTCCCCTAGCTACTGAGTTTACCCATCGGTTATTTGCCAGTGCATTGATATGTAACATTGACACTACAGTGAAGCTAAGTAAAGTCCTGTTCATTTCACATCCGAGTTGAATCTTATATTTAATATACTACGTTGGAGTAAAGACACAACATGATCTACTCTGGTTTATTTTCTCAGGTTTCCAACTAAAGAATCGGGTTAACAGTATAAATAGGGGTTGGGAGGGAAGCTGGTTTCTTGGGTCCAGAATCAAGAACTTTTGCTGTCCCCCTCAGTGTTTGGGGAATTGTTGTTTACAGGAGCTCACGAAGCATTTCGTATTCGGCTTCAGGCACATTTGGGCGTAATGTGTTTACTTACAATGCGGCTAAGCCTCTTAAAGCTGCTCTCCTGCCTCCGATTTAAGACTCAACCCTCCGTCTGAAAGCCGTCTCGCTTGTTGTCTGAGTGCGTTCGTCAGATAATCGGCGCGTTCTCCGGTAATCCGGCAAAAAAGACGCTCTCCAGGCTGTGCCTCGCTCGGAAAGCAATTACAGTGGGGGAAATAAGTATTTGACCCCTTGCTGATTTTGCAGGTTTGCCCACTTACAAAGAATGCAGCGATCTATAACTTTAATCATATGTACATTCTAACAGTGAGAGACAGAATCCCAAAGAAAATTCCAGAAAATCACATCCTATGAATTTATAAAAATTGATAACCATCTGATGAGGAAAAATAAGCATTCTTTGTAAGTGGGCAAACCTGCAAAATCAGCAAGGTGTCAAATACTTATTTCCCCCACTGTATATGTAGAAGGGCCTGCTGATGAGAACCCAGAGGAAGACCCACAAACAAAGAACAGGGAGGCTTTTTTGGGGAGTTTCTACAAACCTGTCGTTTTAAAAACAGCCGGAAGGCCCTTCGGTTTACGGGAGGAATCCCCCAACCCGACCTGTCCCAGCTCTGGCCCTCGGCCCCCAGCATGTTTTTCCATATTTATTTATACAGCACACCTGATTTAAATCAGCTCTGCAGACGGCCGATTCAATTCAATTCAATTTTATTTTATTTCTATAGCTCCACATCACAACAACAGTTGTCTCCCAGCTTTCAAAACAGAAAAGCTCAGACCAGACTCTGAAGTTATTTACATAAGAACAACAGTTCCCACCAAGAGCAGCACTAGGAGACACAGGGAGGGAAAAACTGCCTTTTAACGGGCAGAAACCTGGAGCAGAACCATGGCTCAGGGTGGG